ATTAGGAATAATTTTTTATCATTCAACCGGCGCAAACCATCACTCTCAAACAATGGCCCATAATCCTGCTCACTCAAAAGGATTCCATCTCTCGCCTGGAATGCTCACATTTTTAAAAATAATTGGAAAGCTTTGTGGTTTACTTATGCAGGAAGAGGGAACGACCACTCATCGCAAGAATATTGCACATTATTCAAACCATAGCCCTTCGGAGTTACGGCTGGCAGCTCGCTCCCTCCTAAACGCTTGTGGTCACTATTTTGTGGATTTGCTGTCAATGGATTTTTATTTATTTTCTTGCAAATCAGTTGAGAAAATCGTACAATTCATAACGAAGGTAGCATTCACCAGTTGTGGAACATGAAGCAGCTCCCAAAGCAAGAGGAGCAATCATTTGGATATCACGTCTTAAGGTATCAAGGCATGGGGAGCACCGAGGATATACAGGCGACTGAGAGCAGGAAGAAAAGCCACGAATTTCTCCAATCCTCGCGGTATGATTCCTTTCAGAATCTGTCACTATAGCATCAAAAGTTTGTGTTAGTTGTGCATCAAACACGCTGCCTGATCGAGCCTTTTCCTTGTTGTATCTTACTGCTCCTATTAATTCTGGATCTGGACAAACGGGAATTTGTGTAAGTGCCGTGGAAAGAAATAATAAGACCAGAAACACTATGATCGCACTATACATAGCTGAGAAGTTTTGCTTGCTTCTATTTTCTAAAATAATAATAATAATCTACTTGAGAGAAGTGGGGCATGCGACAGTTATTATATGCTGGCCGAGGCTAGGGTTTCTCCGCTCGCTCCCTCAATTCCAACTGGCTTGGCTCTCATGGGGCTGCATAGATCCTGACACTTGACTGCTTGCAGTGAGATCCCACAGCTGTGAATGCTGCACAGGCATGGGCTAAGGAACGGATACAAACTTCAAGTCTCTTGTCTTTCAGTTGTCTTTATTATTGTTATTTTATAGAATATGGAAAGCAAACTATGAGTACAATTCAAGCATTGGAATAAAAATTTGCAAAATATCTGGATTATTAATATCAATGCAATCAAGACTTCTTCAGATATGTATACTATGTTTCTCCTCTTATTATTTCTCTCTATGCACAAAGTGTTTGTCTAAACACAGAACTATTAGGAAGATTTAGATACAATAAGTTTGCGAGCAGCTAACAAGAACTTTTGATGCAATTGCTAAAAGTGACAAGTTCAAGAAATAATACTGTCAGGAGTGGAGAAATTCATGGCCATTCTGCTGCAGCCAGTGAGGAGATTCCAAACAAGAAGGCTACCATTTGCCTTGATGCAAAGCCCTCGCAAACGAGGAGGAATTCCAGTGCGAGTCATTGGTAGCGGTATCCACACCGGCAGATGGTAGCCATGAAAAGATGACAACTTGGACGTAGTTGACACCACTGGATCACTGGATCACGATTGCTTTCTCCAGGCCGTGTTCATGATTTGCGGGATCTTTTATTTCCCTGCTCGCCATCTGTTTCCTTTCTTTTCTTATCGCCCTGGAGCAGCTTGAGAGAGTCCAGCACCGACGACTTCGATGTGGAGGCTCCACCATTTGGCGTCGGTGATTTTGCAAAAGGATTGCTTGCCTTCCGTTGAGCAGAGATTGGCGCCTGATCGTGCGACATCTTCGCAGGTTGATTGGAAAGAGTTGCTCTGTCTTGTTGATGAGCCTGAGCCTGAGGCGGCTCCTTCGGGATCGCCGGTGATTCTTTCTGGATCACTGGTTTTGGATGCTGAGCTACGGGGAGAACTGATGGTGGTGGTCCGGGCGCTTCTACTCTTTGAACAGGCTCTTTCCCCAAAGCCTCCACTCTTTGAGTACGCTCCCAGATGGAAGAATCTGGTGCACGCGCAGGTTCTGAAACGTCGTCTTCCAGACTCTTTTGCATATTTCGTTGCTGCAGAAAAAGGATAAGAAGTGAGAAGGCCATTCTTGAAGACAATTTTCTGGCATACCTCGAGCATGATATTGAGTCGATCTGCGAGAGACGGTAAACGCATGGCATTGACAACTTTGATTGCTCCTTCCAGTGACTTTCGGAGTCGTAGAGAAGCTGCCAGTTCCATTGCTCTCACGAGCTTGTCACCTTTAAGTGAGTTGGTGTCAGAGATGAAACTTGACGTAAAGAGAAAATTCTACCTTTGCATGCGGCTGCCACGAGACGTAGAACATATTTGTCGTGCTCTATTTCCTTCTGTAAAACGTTGTCATCCTCGTGATCGGCGTCGAGGCCCTCACCAGCAGCTCGATCTGCTTTTGCTCGTGCCTACACAACCCCCACATCAAATGGACGCACAAACTTCTTAGACAAACAAATGCACCTCAGATAGAAGTAGAGAATGGCGAAGGTAGTCATTTTCGAGATCATCGCCACCAAGATCAGCATTGACAAGTGGCAAGCTGTGTTTGAAGAAGCTCAGTATAGGCCTCGGAAAGACCTGCAAAAAGTATTTGAAATCAAAACATCGAAACGGTCAAAGAATGTTTACCAGGGGCTGTGTCTCCGGCAGCTTACATATTACTGCAAAAGTTTGTGTCTCATCGAATCCAACCATCCAAAAAACTTCGCTTGAGTTTTTCCTTTCCTTTTCGGCTCTGAAAATCTTATTAGCCACTTCATTCGATCAACTGCACATTACCGAAAGATAGGAACCCAGCAACCACCGAACTCATGAAAATGCCGTCGGAGGACACCCTGCTTAAAGCTTTTAGAGACAACAAGACGAAAAAAAAAGTCGTCGATTACCTGAGAATCATAAAACCCAAGAGAGCCACCTTCACTAAAACCAATCCAGGCTAATCTTGATCCAGGACTAAGTGGAAGACGGCCATCCATGACTTTGCTCCGTCGTTGCAAATCCAGAACCACGAACTCCATTGCCTACACAAACCAGAAACTTGCATGATCTTTAAAGCGAAGAGGAAAAATAATAAGCTCACCTGATCATCCGTGGATAATGGATTCGAAGAGTGAGTGACAACTACGAGTTGATGCTGGTATCCATTCATTGAAACTACTGGCCCCGACAGCGAAAGGATAAAGCTCTGCAGAACATTGCAAGTTACAAGTGGTATTAAAAACCCAAGAAATATACCTGCACACCGCCTTCCGAATAGATACGAAGGAAGTGAGAGCTTGTTGCTGCCGCAGCCCAGCCATTCCCAACAGCAACAGCCTTAACCTCCTCATTTGCAGGAAATCTCATCGACCACTGCAGCATGAAACTAAGAAAACTGTTGTGCCAACCGTGAATACTACCTCGCTGTTGCTCGCCCAACTATTGAAAGGCCTGTATGTCAGAGTGCTCGGACACTTATCGCCATTTTGCGGACTCGCAAGAACGCAAGCTATCTCTCCCAAAGAAGCCATTGTGTAGCCAAAATAATCCGCCATGGCGGGAATGCGAACTCCTTTAGTAATATCATGAAACTCGACCTGTAAGCAGCAAAAGAACGTGAGTATCTTCGAATCGAGTAGGTAACTAAGTTACCTCCACATGACAAGAACCGTCTTTATCGCAGCTGCTTATGCTACCAATGAGATTGTAAGCAAGAAACCATCTTTTCCCTTCAACCTTGTAAGTGGATCCCGGCTGAAATGCTCCTTGCATTGCCGGAACTTTAAGCGTGAAGGAGGCTCTCGCAGTCTCTACCTGTGGCCTCTTTGCCGGCCTTTTATCGTAGACATCATCCAAAGACGCAGAGTTTCCACCGCGACGTCTCTTCGAGCTAAGGAACTCCTCCTCTTCCTCTTCTTCACCGTTGCTCTCGTCATTATCCTCGTTACCACCAGCAGTGTCTTGGCTTCCCAAGTCTATGGACTGTCCATGGCCTTCCGACCCCTCATCATCACTAAACTTGTGGAGCTGCTCGAAGTTTGTCGCCGACACAAGGCTGGACTTAACACAGATCGTCGGGGAAACCATGTGTGGAGGCACTGCCGACTCCCACACTGAAAACTTCCCCTCCATGTTGATCGCCGCTAAGGCATTCTCGACTGGCTTCCAAGCGATGGAGCAAAGTGGCGTCTCAAACAGCATCCCGTCGATGTCTTGCTGCTTCTCTACGTCCCAAAGCACCACCTGAAGATCACTCCCGGCAGTAGCAAGGTACTTCCCATTGAGCGACCAGGCCAAAGCGCTAACCGGGCTCGTATGACCACCTTTGAAGGTACATATCTCTTCGGCCGTGTCCCTGTCCAAGAGAAGAACATCGCTCTTGCGACCCGGAAGCGCGAGGAGATTTCCATCAGGGCTCCATGCAACGCAGTTGCTACTCTCGGAGAACTCGACGTCGATCCTTGGAGCAATCTGTGTGAGAGTGTGCAAGCTCTTTCCGGAAGAGATGAGCCAGAAGATCACAGTCCCGTCGCTGTCGGCCGAGGTTAGATACTCGTTCTTGGGATCAAACGCCACCCACGTAACTGGAGAACCATGACCCCTCAAGATCCGAGCTATGGAATTGTCCGCCATGGCTATAAGCTTGATTCCATCATCGTCTCCAGCAGCGGCTAGAAGACCGCCAGTAGCACTGAATCCCAGGCACCGAATTGGCAGAGTAAATCTCGTCACTGTGCTTTGAAACTTCCCATCTAGAACAAAAGAAATCATCCATCACTCACAAAGAAAAGTTACTTAAAAAACACCGCCTAACCTGGATAGCTGTAGAGCTTGACCGAGTGATCCACCGATCCAGACGCCAAGACCGTCCCATTCGGCGAGAGCGCTGCGCAAGTGACCGCCGCGTTGTGTGCCTTGATAGTGGCGATCACGGCCGAGGGCACCGATGGATCCCAGGTGTGGATCAAAACCTTGCCATCGACACCAGCAGTGACGAGATTCTTGCCTGCCTTGTCCCAAGCGATGATCGATCGACCCTTGGCGTGCGCGTCCCGCTGCTGGAGCCTGGATTTTGCCCCCATCCCGGGTGAGAAATGCCCTAAACCCTTGGCGCGAAATGGCGGGAAAGTTCAAATATTTAGGGCTCTAGATCTATATTCTTGACTGGATGGAAGAAGGAAGAGCTTTGATGGGAGACCCAAGCGCTCGCCAAGAGCATACATGTTGGAGAGGAGGATGTAAGGCCCAGCTTTTAGCATCGCCATGGAGAATCCAAGCACTTCCTGCGCTGCGCGAGATCCCACTCCAATTTCTCTGTGGCTCCGGCAAGCCCCGAGCAGGCAAAGCCAGTCCTGGGCCTCTGGAACAAAGGGCATGGTAGTCAAGAGCTCCTCGGCATCGATTAGATACCCAGCTCGGCTGAGAAGATCGATCAAGCAGCAGTAGTGTTGCTTGGTGGCTGGGATTTCGTGATCCAGCGCTGCTGATCGAAAGTACCTCCTCCCGGAAGCCAGATCGCCCGCGTGAGTACACCCCAGCAGCACGCAATTGAGAGTCACCTCATTCATGCCATAATTCTCTTCCAGCTTCATCCTTGCGAAGATATCCGCCGCTTGGGATCCTCGCCGATTGATCGAGTTCATCGCTAGAACTGTGTTCCAAGCGGCAATGCCCCTCTCGGGCATTGTCTCGAGCAAACACTCGGCTCTCTCGAATTGCCCTCTCGCGGCAACTGCGGCCACGAGCGCTGACCACGACGCAGCGTCTCTGACCGGCATTGACGAGAAGGTCCAGTCAACGAGATCAAACTCTCTGTTGTGGAGATATGCGGCAAGCATTGCGTTCCACGAGATGAGAGTCCACCCCGGCATGGAGTCAAACAGAATCTCCGACTCGCGGACATGCCCGTGCCGGGCATATGCCGACACCAGGGTGGTCAACAGGACAACGTCATAATGAGGGGTTCGGTCAAACACGGTCAGGGCCTCGTTGAGCTTGCCGTGGTCGGAATATGCCATCAACATGATGCTCCACGTTACCTCGTCCGTGTCGGGGATCGTACAGAGGAGATTCTCGGCATCTTCCAGATTCCCTTTTTGGGCATATGCCTCGAGCATCGTGTTCCAGGACACTTGATTCCTCTCGGGCATCGCATCAAAGATTTCTTTCGCCTGTGGAAGATCCAAGCAAGATCCCAGCATCACAGTCCAGGAAATGAGGTTCCTCTCGGGCATTGACGCAAAGATGCTTGCAACCAGACGATCTTCTCGACGATCTGCCATTGCTGATAAGAGAGAATTCCATGATACGAGATTCCACTCCGGCATCAAGAGCTCGAAGATTTCCATGGCAGCATCCACAAGCCGCGAAGATCCATACACTGAAAGGAGCGAGTTCCAGGAGAAGCAATCGTGCGCAGGGATTCGATCGAACAGCGCCTTTGCACGCTCCGGAGTGTCCATTGCAGCCAGCATCGCGTTCCAGGAGATGATATTCCTCTCGCGGGAGAGCATTTCCCCGTGGAAAAGGGCGTAAGCGTCTGCCAGATGCCCGTTTCGGGCAAATGCGTCGAGCATGGCATTGAAGCTGACTAGATCATGCTGGGGCATCCGATCGAACAAATCCTTTGCAAGTTCTAGATTCCCGGCTTGAGCACTCGCCGCCACGATTGTGTTCCAGGAAACAAGATCCTTTTCGGGCATGGAGTCAAACGTTTGTTTGGCGGCCGCAAGATTCCCATTCTGGGCATATGCTGCAAGTATCGAATTCCAAGACACGACATTCTTATCGGGCATTGCCGCGAACAAATCTGCCGCGTGATCTACCTTGCCGGACTTGGAGAATGCCGCTATAAGTGTGTTTGAGGAGACATGATCTCTGTCGGGCATGTTATCAAAGAGCACTTTTGCGGCGTCCAGATCCCCGTTGCGGGTATATGCGCCGAGCATAAGATTCCAGGAAAAAATATCCTTGTGGGCGATGCTATCAAAGACGATCCGTGCCGACTGCACGGCACCACACTTGCCGTACATCTGGATGAGCAAGTTAGAGACAAAGGTGGAATTTTGGGTGCCATTTTTTCCAAGAACGTGGCTGTGGACGCGCTGGGCGTGAGAGAGGGAATTGCAGGATCGAATGAGATCAATAGACTCTCGAACAGATGCCAGCTTCGCATATTCAGGGAGCTTTAAAGAAGAAAAAAAAAACCAAAAATGTTCTAAAAGTATATTCGCCTTTGTGGGCTTTGAAAAATAACACTCCCGGTGGGACTCGAACCCACAATCCCTTGATTAGAAGTCAAATGCCTTATCCATTAGGCCACGGGAGCCCATGTTATAAAATTACTCGTTTTAGACGTTAAGTACAGTCTTTGTAAGGATCTTTTCTCTTTTTTTTCTTTCACAGATAAAGGCGAGAGATATATGTGGTTTACACGAGAGCGCTTCTTTTTAAACTTCTTGGACCTCGTCCAGCGCGTAGTTGTTTGTGGAGTTTCCAGCGTAATTCACCTTCTCGAATCGAACAACAACGGGGTAGAGCACGCCGGGGGTCTGGCGATTGCAAGGAACCCATCAGGAAAATCCAGGCAATCGATCGAGTCGATCGAAAGAGAAACGAAAAGTAGTAGAAATGCTTACCTGATCCACTGTCACGACCTTGCCCGTGGTCTGGAACCAATACGACTCTGGCCGCAAGATCTTCACCTGCATCCATCCAAGGATTTAGCAATGTGCGCGATGAGAAGATGGAAGAAGAACAAGACCCAAGATCAAATCGAGCGAGAATTGGAAGAAGGATCCACTTACAATTGATCCACGCTTAGGCCCAACCGGCTCTGGCTTCTTCTCGGTGGCTGGTGGCGCGGCGGCGGTCTCGCAAGCTCTCACCACCAATCCGGCGGAGGAGGGGACTCTCCGATTCCACGACGCGGCTGGAGAGACCCGGCATTGGCCGGCAAAGAATTTGGACGACGATGCGCTCGTCGTTGCTGTTCCAGACACTAATCCCACACACCCGGAAGCCGCCGCCAACGCCATTCCTTCCTTTCTTTGCTTTGATCTTCTCTCTCGCGTGAGAGAAAGCGCGAGCGTGTGCTGGGAACGTGTGTCTGCGAAGAACACTAGGTCGAAACGAAAGAAGGGGGTTTTGCTCGCTAGCTGCAGACGTGGCACGACGTGGTTGGCTCGGGCCTCGTTACCCTATCTGAAGTGGCCTTATCGGTAATGGATTGGTCCACGTCACTGCCAACTTGGAGTTGACTAGGGCTGACTTTAGCTGAGTAGGACTACTTTCTTTCCCCTTAGACCAGTTTAATAGAATATGCTTTGTCACCTAAAGTGGGCTTAAAAATACCAAACCTAAGTTTATCCTTTGCATTGTGTGCTGCAACCCTAAAAAATGTATTATACTACACAAATTCTAAACTTTAGCTATGGCTTAAGCCATATATTCTTAGTTTCCTTATTTACCTTGATTTTGATTGATTATATTTCACCACTAGCAAGCAGGTTTTAGGGCTCTTTTTAGCCGGTGACTTTTCTTCTAAGGAGATTCGATCTGTTCAGCTCCAGGTTTCCGAACTATATCAAACACTTAATAAGAAATCACGATGATTCGACTCCTCAGATCCTCTCGTGATCACCACAGAATTGCACGATAAAAATCTCTTGGAATATGCGTTGTCATGTTAGCTAGTCAACTCTAGTCAAGCACAGCTGTTAAACTTTTGAACTAATTCCCTTGGAGTGGCCGCGAGAGGAGGAGGAATGAGGGCTAAGCTATGGAGCGACGAGCGGGTGCGAACGCTCGTCCTGGTGAATCTCGCCAGTGTCATGGAGCAAGCGGACGAGGCGCTCCTCCCAGGTGTGTACAAAGAGATAGGCGAGAGCCTCCACACGGGCCTAGCGGCACTTGGGTCTCTCACGCTCCTCCGATCGATCACCCAAGCGCTGTGCTTCCCTTTCGCCGCTTACTTCAGCCTCCACTACGATCGCTCCAAAGTGATCGCCATCGGCGCTTTCCTGTGGTCAATTGCCACGTTCTTCGTGGGGATCTCTCAAACCTTCACGCAAGTAAGTCGTAGATCCATCGTACTTAGCTCTAGATCTCGATCGCTTCGCTTAGTGGGTCTTGGATATCTCGCGCAGATCGCAGTGTGGAGAGCTCTCAATGGAGTCGGGCTGGCGCTGGTCGTCCCCGCGATCCAGTCGCTCGTAGCTGATGCTTGCGACGAATCCAAGCGCGGCCAGGCGTTTGGATGGCTGCAGCTCACGGGCAGCGTGGGGACGATACTTGGTGGGTTCTTGTCGATCATCTTGGCCGGGACGAGCTTCCTCGGGATCTCGGGATGGAGGCTCTCGTTCTTGCTGGTGACGGCCATCAGCGTGGTTCTCGGGATCTTGCTCTTGATCTTCGCGGTGGATCCTGCCGCCAAAGCGTAAGCTCGTGACTTTGTCGGTCGCTAAAGTTTTGGAGATCTTTGTTGTCCAGGAAGAGGGAGCGGGGATTTGCCGGAGTGTGGAGTGGCCTCAAAGAAGCGACTCAAGAAGGAAAGATGGTGATCAACGTAAAAACTTTCCAGTTCTTGGTAGCGCAGGGTGTTGTTGGCACCTTCCCTTGGGCATCGCTAGCGTTTGCTCCACTTTGGCTGGAGCTCAAAGGATTCAGCCACACGCACACAGCGTTTCTTCTCGGCCTGTTCACGGCTTGCGGATCTCTGGGAGGCCTCTTCGCTGGAACTTTGGGAGACACCATCTCTAAACATCTCCCGGACTCTGGGAGAATCATCCTCGCTCAGTTTAGCTCCGGCTCTGGAGTGCCACTTACGGCGATTCTACTGCTGGGCTTGCCACCGAGATCTAATTCGCTGCTGCTCCACGCTCTCATCTTCGCCGTGCTAGGATTTTGTACGTCGTGGAATGCTCCAGCCACCAACAAGTAAGTCCCCTGCTCTTGAAAGCTCTTCCACAGTTTTGCTCTTCAAAGATCTTCCATCTGCTAACTCTGTCGAGGATCAAACAGTCCAATCTTTGCGGAGATCGTCCCCGAGAAGTCCCGGACAACGATCTACGCATTGGATCGGTCCTTCGAGTCGGTTCTCGCTTCGTTTGCTCCTCCCATCGTGGGCTTGCTCGCGGAGCACTTGTATGGATACGTGCCGCCGCCACCTACGTCCAAGAATCCAGTGGAGGCTAACAGTGGCGATGCCGTGTCTCTGGGAAAGGCCCTCTACACCGCCTATGCCATACCCATGGCGACTTGTTGCTTGACATACACCTTCCTCTACTGGTCGTATCCCAAGGACCGGGACAGGGTGGTGAATTCGTTCCAAGCTCAAACCGAGATGAGCACTGGCTTGAGCAAGGTGACTTACGAGAAGTCGAGCAATGGTTATTTTGTAAACGAGGAGCTGCAAGAGGACAAGGAAGAGCATGAGCCAGAAGCAGAAAATGAGCTTACCAGCATTATCGGTTCTTAACATATGGTTACAAAAACTTGGGAAGATTGTTGAGCGGATTCTTGTTCGATCGCCAAAGTTTTGCAAATTTTAGATGAAAGCTGATCAACTATGAATGTAAAGAGTGGAACTTATCTGATCAAGCTTGCTAGATGAGAAGCATAAACTCCTAGCAGTAGAATGCCAGACGTTACTAGCACCTGCTTTACCCCAGCTGAGACGTCTTGGTGCTGCGCAAGTCCATCCACGCGTGCTACCTTTCTGTTGATTTGATCTTGCGTCTGTGAGAATGTAGAGGTACCAAATTCACTCACCCGAAATCGGCAATGAGAATACTGATGTTGTCTTGGCCATTTTGGGCCTGTAAAGTGGATGAGATTTTAAGAAAGTAAGATGGATAGAAGTTACCAGAGCAGCGGCCGCAAGGTTCTCACAAGCGCGCTGGGAGATACGGAAAGCTAGTCGTTATGGAGAGATGGAATTGGAAACATTATTACCTGGATATCTCCGTGCTCTTTCAGTTGCTCTCTCACAAATGCTACAGCGTCCTTACTGGGAAAACCATAAAAGTTGCTTGTGAGTCCTGCATGAGCTCTGGAATTCACCTTTTGATGGAATCCCACAAGCCGTCTGAAGCAAGAATGATGAACTCGGCGTCCTGACCAAGAGTGGCAGCAGTAACATCCGGTGCCGCAGTCAGCCATTCTCCTGTGAGATCCCGCCTGAAACACTCTAGAGTGAAGTCTAGGAAATACTGGTGAAAACAATGACAAAGGAAAGTTATCACTTACTTCGACACAAACTTCTGCGTCCACAAGTTTTTCTTGAGCCCCTCCTCTAGCATTCTGACAGATCCCTTCGTCAAAAGAATCCTTCACTGGCGAACGATTTCTTACTCTTTTCTACGGGACTTCAAGGATATATCTCCAAATGCACGAGACACAGCCAAATTACCACATACTCGGCCATTGCTTATCTAGTCAAACACAAAACACGAGTGTTCTCAGTACCAAAAACTAAAGATCAAGAGAAACATACCCAGCCTCCAGCAGCAATGACTCGCTTGCCCTCGGCTAGAGCTGTCTTGCTGCTCCCATATGGCCTGTGATCACTCGTCAACTCCTCGGCTTTTCCTCCTCGAGAAATTACCTGATAATCTAGTGGAGACTAGTTAAATCCTCCAAAAGCATTGCAAGACGATGACAGTACCACTCGTGAGTCGCCGACGTGAGCTACCACCACCTTCTCTTTACCCAGAAACATGACAGTTGCAGTGGAGCCAGATTCTCGATCAGCCTCCTCTTGTTGCTCCAGCCTGCTGCAAAGCAAAACCTCGCATTGATCACGTGTGGAGATGAATGGATCGAGCTAGACGAACCACGAGAGCAAGCGTTTGTCAACTTGGACGAAAGCTTGCGAGAGTGCCGCTTCCAAATCGATCGAGTTATCAGATTGTAGAAGAGCTCCTCCTTGCAATGCATTCACGCATTCGCTGAATAGCTCTTTCCTGAAGAACCATCGCTAGAAAGATCAAAATCGAATTGTAGAGAGCTTACTTGAGATAGTTCACTGATGATATACCGGCATGACCATCATAGACCGCAGCAAACGTAAATTCTGGAATTCTCCCCTCCTCCAGCTCCATGTCGTCCTCCATCTCCGCCCGGGGACCTTGCAACGCAAGCTGTGCCCATCGGATCGAAGACGGGGAAGCCAGAGAAGACTCTGGCGGCAATCCAGACGGATCAAAGACCTCCGCCGCCGACGACGATGACGAGAACGCCGTGAATCTCTGCTGCTGGACTGGACCTAACCTAGACGATTTCCCGATTGCCGCGGCCTTCTCGCCAAGAACCGGGCAGACCTTGCCAAACAGAGGCGCTGCCACCGCCATCGCCTCGCGCGCGCTGTCTCGGATGGGAATTTCTCACCGAGAGTAGAGAATGCCGCTCATGGGACGCTGATCGGTGGGCGCGATGGAGAGCTCTTCGTGGATCATCAAGCCCACCACACACACAGATAAGGGCTTAAATTTTAAAAATAGGGCTTTAGTTAATAAAGTTAGGGCTTAAATATATTCTTAGAATATGCCAGTCATTGCTTATGGTATATTCTCAGAATATTTATGATTTCAAATTTGCGCTGACGTTTTGCCGCTAAGCACCGACAAACGTAACTTCAATCATTAGTTTTTGGAGATAAATATCGCTAGAAGAAAACTATAGAGAGAGCCATACAGTAATTGACTCGATCAATCATCGCGTGAAATCGAGCCAACCTTAAGCTATATGGCCCGATGGTCTCTAACTGTTTCCCATGGTTTCCACCCATTAAAAAATATGGTTTCCACCGATTTAATCAAATGATCTCTCGTTGGTCTTGGCTGTCTTGCACCTAGTTTCTTAAGTTTAAGCGAGATCATCAAGAAGCTTATGAAGAACACGAAAACAAATGATAAACAAGTTCCACAAAGAACACAGGCATGTGAAGAAGGAATCAAACAAGTTCTCGTGTCTTGCAGCAAAATCATAGCTGCTAAACTATAGCCATGTGAGTGGCTACCCTAGAAAAGCTCTTGTTTTCATCTAGAAGAAGAATTTCCTCGCGTTTTTTTAATGGTGTGGAAGCACGAGCTGCTATAGCCAGCACTTCGATGGCGAGAGAAAAGTTTCCAAAACGAAACGAAACCGGAAAAACCGATGCGATGGATCAAAGCGGGGCAAGCAAGCGCGGGGACACGAAGAAAAGTTCGAAGAGATGTTAGAAAAATCGATCGATCGTGCCAAAAAGACCGGCTTGATTCGATCCGAGAGAGCTTTATCATCATCTAATCTAATCGCGGCGAGCGAGCAAGCAAACAAAAGACAAGAAAAAGAGGAACTTTTCATGTATAGTAGTAGTAGCAGAGTTAGAGCAGTATCGCTTCTATACAAAAGGAAAAGAGGGGATTCTTTCGAGAGGTAATCGTTTCTCGCCGGAATGCTGCTGGTGGATTGTTCTTCGTGGTGGGCTTCTGCTGGATCAAACGCCCAGATCGAGTTTTGATCGACTGGAGAAGCTTTAACCGGAAGAACACCGAGAGAAGGAAGAAACATACTAAAAGACTGAAAATCCTCCAACCGAAAAAGGAGCTCCCGCGTCGAGAGAATGTCTGTTCTAGGATGATCTGACCTCGGGAATGCTCTCCAATGCGGGCTTCCACGACGAGAAGCTCGATTTCCTGGAGCTGGAGGCGGAGAGCTTGTGGTGCTGCTGCTCTGGAATGTTGATCCCCTTCTCCTTGAGCAGCGACGTGATGAGGCTCTCGAGGAAGTCGTCCTTTTTGTAGCTCGCATTGATCATGCTGGCCATTTGGTTCGTGGAGATGATGAGCTTCACTCGCATCACGCCCTCCTGGGAGCTGGGCAGGATCTCCATGGCGGGCTTCATCTCCACAGGAACAACAAGAGATCGAGATGAAGAAGAAGAAGAAGAAGAAGTAGCCATAGCAGAAGAAGAAGAAGAAGAAGAAGAAGATGGAGAAGAGAACGCAGCTTTAGATTGCTGGAGCTTCTTCTTCCTCAAGAGATTGAGCCTCTTGGAGGCCAGCGACCCTCCCATTATCTCGTCCTCGTCCTCCTCTTCTTGGTGGTGGTGGATCTCGCTACTCCGCAAGCACGCATTCCCCATAGCTATAGCCTAGCACTGGATTGGCGAGGCGATTAAATCCTCACTCCAAGGAAATGGGATCGATTTCGGAGCGATGGAAAGCGCTTGGAGCAAAGCCAAAATGAATGAGCGATCGAAAACAAACAAAATGGCAGCGACAGGGAGGGGAAAAAAAAAGCGCTGCGCTTCTTATTACTGCCTCTGTCCACTGCTCACACTGCTCACACTCACGCAGGGCTATCAAGAAAGAACCATAGTTAAAGCTAAAAGGGGTTTTGGCTTATCACGATAAACCATGCTCCTCCGTAAGTCGTACGTCCCTTGTAGCTTTCCACGCGGTCAACAGTCTCCACATAGTAACCCGTGTCTGGTCAAACCCTGGATTGGTCAAACCGGGGCGACGTAAGCCTTGACTGGTGCGCTGGATGGTAAGCTTTTGGTTGTTGTTAAGTTTCTATACTTTGGATTTACGTTCCATCGAGGACTGCTCTCTTGTTCTTTCCCTTTCTTGACTTCTACATTGGTTTTTAAAGCGCAAACATAGCTTTGAATCTCTTGTAAGCCTGGCGACGCAACGGCGGTCTCCCAGGTTCACGGAGTCGAGAACTTCCCGTTCTTGACACGCTCATGGACGAGATCTTCCAAATTCTTACCGTGTGTTGATTGGCATCCATAATTTTCATTCCAGATCCCACGTACATTGTTGCACAGTAGTGCTGCCGTGACCGGTGACCGCATCGATCACGCAACTTTGTTCTCTCTCCGGCCCCAAAATCAATCAACATTGCGGCTACCATCCTCTCGCAGAAAAAGAAATGGTCGTCGTTTGTTGGCGACTCCGTACCGTACAAACACACCAATAAACTACAAGGCAGGCGACAGACATGAAACTCCCAAGATCAAAGTCCGTACTCGCACAGATCAAGTGAAAAGGAGCGAAGTATATAAGATTGGCACTGCACAAGGCGGTGTAGTGGTGGTCCATCTCTGGTGGACTCTTGGTTTCACTCTTTCCATGTTGATCATGATCGCGGAGTTTGTTCTCGAGGCATGGGACGGTGCCACTGAGAGGGAAAGATTTTCCCGGGGCGGTGGCCACCCAGATAGAAATTTCTAGGATTGTCCGGGCTACGCTCTCGAGAAAGCGATCAATGCTACGTATGGCTCCTCTCTTTCGAAAAAACAAAAGATACAAACAAAGTACGAGAGATCCATCTACGCGACCATGGGGTGGGATTTACGCGCTAATTCACTGCGCTACGTGGCCTTTCCGTTAATCTTTTCATTTCACACTAATCTAGACAATGAGCTTTAGATCTTTGTCGTGAGAGTTGTTTTGCCGCTAGGATTGTCTACATTTGCGAGAGATCGATCGACAAAACAAAAGATACAAACCAAGATCCATCTACACGACCACGGTGAGATTTGAACTCACGGCCTTTGGATCCGAAGTCCAACGCGCTAATCCACTGCGCTACGCGGCCTTAGTGTTAATCCTTTTGTTTCATACTAATCTCGGGACTAAGTAAGTCTATATCATGAGCTTTGGTGATGTTTGAGGGAAGAATGTAGCTCATTGCTTGTTTTGCCGCTCCTACAACGCTGGATTAACGCCTTTCTGTCACACAAATCTCTGGACTAACTAAGTCTATACAACGATTATCAGCTTTAGATCTTTGTGGTGATGTTTGAGAGAAGAATGTAGCTAGCAGGCGATTCCGGCGAGAGCTCCATCGCTTGCTTTGCCGCTCCTCGCCCAAAACCAACAGCGCTATCGCTCCTACTTAACAGGCAAATCCAATCCAGCGCCTCTGGTGTGTACGGCATGGTCGCGACCAGCTCCTCGGCCGCGGCCAAGTGGCCCGACCGGCCCAAAAGGTCAACCACGCAGCCGTACTGCTCCTTGCTCGGGGTCAACCCCCAGTCAGCGTCCATTGACCGGAGCCAGCATATTCCCGTGCGCACGTCCCCGGCGTGGGAGCACGCCGGGAGGAGGGACGTGAATGTGGCATCGTCGGGCGCGTGGCCGTCGATTTGCATCGCCCAGGAGAGAGCGAGCGCGGATCCTGGCCGCCCGATGCGGGCGTGGGAGGTGATCAGGGCCGTCCACGCGATGAGGTCCTGGGCGGGCATTTGCTGAAATAGGGAGTGGGAGAGTTCCAAATGCCCGGTCTGGGCAAATAGGAGGAAGAGCGTTGTCCAAGAGATTGGATCTCTATCGGGCATTTGATGAAAGAGAAGTAGCGCTTCATGGATCTGGAAATCCTGGGCGAGCGTTGCAAGCATTGCGTTGTAGGAAGCGAGATCGCGCGATGGCATGGAGTCGAAGATCCGCCGCGCGTCGGCTGGATGCCCGTTCTGGGCATAGGCGCTGAGCATCGCGATCGCGGCGATGGAGTCGCAATGCGCCATGGAATCGAAGAGGAGCTTGGCCTCCTCGAGGCGGGCCTCGCGCGAGTAGAGGCACAGGAGCGTTGTCCACGAGACGAGATTGCGCTGGGGCATAGAATCGAAGAGCGATTTCGCGAGGAGAAGTTCACGCGATTGCGAGTAGGCCGTGAGCATCGCGTTGCATGAGACGAGATCGCGCTCGGGCATTCGATCCAGGAAGAGCTCGTGGGCTTCCATCCATCGCCGGGACTGGATGAGCGCCGTGAGTATCGTGTTCCAGGACGTGATGATCTTCTCCGGGAGGCGATCGAAGAAGGCCCTGGCGTCGGCGATACGCCCCGCGCGCGCCAGCGCCGCCATGATCGCGTTCCACGACACGGCGTTCCACTGCGGCATCGCGGCGAAGATCGCCTCACAGCGCTCGACGCTGGATCCGGCGGTGGCATGGGCGACGAGGAGGATGTTCCAGGAGACGAGATCCTTCTCGCGCATTGCCGCGAAGAGATTGCCGGCGCGGGAGATTGATCCCGCCCGCGCCAGCGCCGACAGGATCGCGTTCCAGGAGATCAAGTTCTTGGCCGGCATCGCGGCGAAGATCTCGTGGGCTTCGTCCAGGCGATCGTGCTGGACGAGCGCGCCCAGGATCGCGTTCCATGACACGAGATTCCTCTCGGGCATTGCGTCGAAGAGATTCTTTGCGTCGAAGAGGCGGCCGAGCTGAGCGTACGCGGAGATCATCGTGTTCCAGGAGACGAGATCGCGCAGCGGCAGCGTGGAGAACATTGAAGCCGCTTCCAGCATATGCCCGTTCTGGGCAAGTGCTGCAAGAATCGTGTTCCTAGAGAAGAAATCTTGTTCCGGCATTCTTTCGAAGATTTTCTTGGCTTGAACCACAAGCCCTCGTCGCGAGTAGTTTGTTAAAAGCAAGTTCCAAGACGCGAGACTGTGATCCGGCATTCGATCAAAAAGTTCTTGAAAGGTATCA